AAATTAAGTTAAATTAAAAAATTAGCTTTAAATATTTTAGCTTTATAAATTATAACTATTTACTATAACATTAAATTGAATTACAAAAAATGTATATCTCATGTTTTGTGAATTTTGTTTGCAATCTAAAAAATAAATACCTATATCTATAGATGTAAAGCTTTATAGAAATCCACACAAGGTAAATATGAAAAACAAACTTTTATTTGTTACAAGAAGAAATAAGACATAAGACTGAAAGAAAGAAGTAAAGATTGAAAGATAAAATACAAAAACTTAACATAACTAATTAAAGGAATTGAGTGCGTTTTCAATTTTAATTAAGAGCGCACGGAAAAGCTCAATGAGCTGCAAAGAAGTTTTACCTTTTACTGCAAAATTTTCTTATATTCATACATATATATTATATGTATGTATATGTGTCTATATATCTATATATATTTGTCTAGCTATTCATATTTCCATGTGAAATTTATACATTTTTCTTTTCCGCTTTTCTGAACTCGAACGCAGCGTATCAATTAAAAGAATTGATAGATGCTTCTCAAGTTGACAATGTGATTTTATATGCTGACTTGAGCGGCTGCTGCTGCTGTTGCTGCTAGGATGTGACTACACAGCCTCCTGCTGCTACTGCCTCCTCCTATTCCACTTCCTCCTCTTCCACTGCTGCTGCTGTCGTTTGTTTTGTTGTTGCTGTCGTTGTCGATGGCTGTCATTGAGTTTCGCATTTCAGAATAAAAATTCAAAAAGTTCAGAGGGGGGGCCACAGAGAACGAGGCATACACCTGCTCTCGCTCGCCCCATCGCCCTCTCTTTCTCTCTCGCACTCATTCCGTCTCTGTGTGTGTGTGTGTGTGTGGCATGTTTGTACATCAACGCGCATATAACAAATAAACAAACAAACAACGACTTTTTGGGCTTGCTGTGTGTGCTCGCTTGCAATTGTGAATAACAGCAGCAACAAAAGCAGAAACAACAACAACTTGCAACAACAATGTGCTGCAATCTTTTGCCTCTCTGTTATTTTTTTTTTTTTTTTATTTCTCTCTTGTGCCTTTCTTTCAACGCAGTTTGCACTCGCACTCGTATTTGCTTTTAGCTGTTGTTTTATTTTATTTTTATTTTATTTTTTTAACATTTTATTTTTTATTTATTTTTATTTATTTTGCTTGCTCTGTAGTACATTTTCTTGCTGGCTGCTGCTCTTGTTGGTCGCAAGTGTTGAATGTCTGCGGAAAGTTACAAAGGTGGTGTCGTCGTCGGCTCCCCTATTCCCCACTCCCAACTAGCCCCAAACCCTTTTTGCCCAGCTACACACACACACACATATGTATGTATATATACAAAGCCTTGCTGCCCCTACCTTCGTCTCTGCCCCTCTCTCCTTGCCTTTGCCCTCGGTTTCAGCCATGGCTGAGCTGCTGTTGCTGTTGCTGYTGCTGTATGCTTGGGCCAAGCTTCGGGGCATGCTCTTCAACATTTTCTGTGCCGTTTTGCAGTACATGAAGTTTGCATTTTTGTTATACCCTAGACACACAGTTTGCGTAGAGGGTGTATGCGGCTTAGCTGAAAGGGGCTAACAATTAATTTAGCTGAAATTAAATTTTGCTTAAGAGGATTAGCGTTAGTGAAGATAAAGATAGACACTTTGACTATATTGAAGCTATAGACTTGAAGTTTTAGAAGACAGTTCGAACAAATTCGACATCATCCTTTTTTCGTATACTTAACCTTTGCATCACAAAAAGATGATGAACAGGTCTTATATCTTATACATACATATATCCTTTATCTAATTATTTCTTCTAGTGAAAATTAAAAATATTTAAATCTGAATTTACATTTTATAATATTTGGTTAGCTTAGCGTTATCTCTCTGATGAAATATTTAATTCTGAATATGTTTCTTATAGGATGCCGAAACACAATTCGAACAGCTATAATACTTTTGCAAAAATATATTCCAAAATATATAATTAGTTAAACACTATATTTTATTATGGATATTTTATAAAAGACTAGAAAAACACGTTGCCGAGAAGAAAAATGTATTTTAATATTCCCCTCAGCTCGTTCCTTGTAAAGCTTCTTGAGTTAAAATCGTACCTTATTCCTCCTTACGTTAGCCACATTCTGCACAAGTTCTATACAGGGTATCTCTTAGTCCGCCACTGGCCAACATTTCGCCATTTTTATTTGTTGTGTCGTTTTCTTGCTGAGGCTTCTGTTATTCATAGGCAGCTTCCTGGCACGTTTTGTATTGGGTGTGGCAGGCGCGCCCACACACTCACTCACACACACACACACATAGACTTTACATACATGCATAGCAATACGATTGCCCGCCGAAAAAGCCGAGACTTGAGTTTTACTTGTCTTTTGCCATTTGCAAAACTTTTTGTGTGTTGTTGTTGTTTTTTTTTTTTTTTTGCTCAGGAGCAACTGCCACGTTGAGGCTTTTTGACTTACACACTTACATTCATATATATGATGTATGTATGCATATATAGTTGTATATTCAAAATATATTCTAAAAGGATTCGAAATGAGGGCTTTTTGGTTTTTGCGTGCAAAGTTTTTGTTGCCGTGTTGCTGTCGTGCTTTATTTTCCACTACGTTGTTGTTGTTGATGTTTTTTTCTTTTTCGAGTGCAACGCCAAAGCGCAGCAGCACTTGTGCAACAAGCACACACACACACACACACACGGGCGCGTGTTGAGAAGTGGAAACGTAATATCGGATTTTCGTATTTACGTAACTGTGGTTCCTGCACACACACACACGGACGCACACATACGCATAGCCAAAGAGTCGCCTTTTGCTTTTGCAGCAGTTTTTGTTGCTCTATGGCTTTCTATGTACTTTTGAAACACACCAAAAAGCTTGCTTTTGTAGGGCATGCACACACTCATACACACACACACACACGCGCACACAGACATGTACACTTATACACACACTTCTAGGATACTTGGCCTGGGCTCGTGATCCTGCCACGTCCTGCCGCGTCCTGCTGCTCTACCGCACACCGCACTCGAAGTGAAAACGTAAACTTTGACAACCCTGCCGCAACCCTATAGCTACCAGGGGGGACGGTGTTCGGTACTAGGCGGGGCGTGGCAGCAGCTTCAATTCCTTTACAGCAGCCAGCCGCCCAAGTTTCAAAGAGCGAAATGGTTTTTATGTTTCTTTATGTGGGCGCTGGGCAAAAAAAAAGAAAGAAAGAAAAGGATTTTCTAACAGCCGCCATGTTGACTAACCGTTGCTAGCCCCAATCCCCCCAACCTCAAATGGCAACCCCAAGCTCAGCCGCCCCGCCCGTTCGTCATAACCATCAAAGTTAAATAGACAGAAAATTGTGTACAATTTTCGTGAGCTTGGATTTTTCAATTCGTTGCCTAGCATCATTGACTGCTGCAAGAATTTTTGAAAAGGGGACGCATTCGCACACAGAGCGAGCGAGCAAGAGAGAGAGAGAGAGAGAAAGAGAGTGAGAGAGACAGAGGCAAAGGAAGGGAGAGCGAGTCCATGCCACAGGGTTTTATTTTCAACTGCATCTCTCTTACTCCCGCTTCCTTTCTGGGATCCTTCAAAAAGCCATACACAAAGGACAAGAGGTACATCGGGGCGGGGCAGGGTAAGGCAGGACTATTGGATGTGGCATGTGCGCATTTCAAATCTAAGATGGAGATTCCTATGCGGTGGGGGAAATTTAATTCTGCTTTTCTTTTTTCATTTGCTGCGGCGACTGAGTTTTATATTGTTTTATTCAACATTTTCTCACCAGTGAATGCTTCTTTTAGGTTGTTCTTTAATGTTATTAAAATTGCGACTCCAAAGTGTTAAGAGAAAGTTGTTCTTTTCCAGCTGAGGCATTAAAAGATTTTGCAAAGCTTGATTAAAAATGATTTGGTTAAAGAACATGATTAATATATTATGCTATATGTGGTAGCATAAAGAATATGATAATAAGGAAAAAATAGCATCTACATTAACAAAGACTTTGTGGACCTCAAAGGCAAACATAACAATCGATTTTTTGCATCGATTGCCTTCAGCTTGTAAATCGAGAAATGCCCCATCGATTGCTCATCATGTTGTTGCCACTTGATGCCACCAGATTGATTTCTTTGGGGTCAAATGAAGAATTTGCTCTACAGCAATTAGCCGTGGACTTTGGATTGACCTCAGAGCGAAAATTGACTGAAACACAGACTTCATATGAAATTGAGTCAAAAGTTGGCTAATAAGTGGAGGTCATACAATAAAAATTACAACTCATACTTTAAAAAATAAAATAAAAATAAAATAAACAAAAGCTAAACATTATAAAAATATAAGAAATATATGAAAATAAAATAAAATATAAGGAAAGATATTAATTA